TATTAAGTAAAAAGTTCCGTAGTTTCACTATCGTAAATACTCGATAGTTTCCGTTCCCTATCGAGAAGATCGATCTTATTGCTTCTTATCGGCTTTGGCTTGAGGTTTGAAGACTTCATTAGAAGCCTTCATTTATTTCTCCCTGGCATGTTTACGACATCCTGTCCCGATTCCCTATTCTTTTTGTGCATTGCTTTTCACAGAGTAGTAAGTCACAAAAAATTAGGAGGACAGCAAATAGAATTCCAATAACTAGGAAGGTCACAAGAAGCCAGAGCGGGAAAACTTAGCCAATGTTTTTAGCTGAAACTATATTCACCCATTGTTAGTGCGAAAGCTCTAATGTGTTTTGATATCAAATTAAATGTGAATTTAAGGTGACTAGTAGTTTTATTTATATGGTTAACTTTTAACCATATAGGATAAGTTAGGATAGAAAAATGAGAAGTAATTGAGCGAGTTCGAGCTTCTTTTTTTTCAGTTAATAGTTAACCATTGGAGTCTCCCTAAAGCAAAAAACAGCAACAGTAGGTGACCAGAAACCGAAAAGTCTATGGATCGCTTCCTTTCCTGCAGGACAGAGATCTATGATACTAGCCACGTTCATAATCTTGCATCCTGTCAAAATTGTTTTTGAGGCCTGATCAAAATCGTATATTCTTAGGATTCGATTATAAATTTGACTAGAGAGAGAGAGAGAGAGAGAGAAGTTTTTCTCGCTGACTCGGACTTCACATTCAGAACAAATATAGAAACGAAAATCATAAAAACAACTTAAGAAAAACTGGCGCACCCTAATTTATTCCCAACATACACATCTGTGATAGTTCAGAGTGCCTCGAACCTATCAATCGAGTAAAAGGGTAGCTTAGTATTTCAACTGATAGAAGAGTATCTCTGAAAATATCGCATATTTCTAGACATTATTGATCTCATCACGGGTTTCGGTATATGAAACAAAACCGTTCAAACCTTCGCAACGTTTAAGTGTTTAACTGCTCGAATGAAATCATTTTCTATACTTTATAATAGAGAAACCTTAAATTCACCTTCTCTCATTGAAAAAATACAGACCTGTTTTGAACTTCGTAACAGCTGCTGGTGACACCAATATCTTGTTATGTGTATCATTATTGAAGGCGGTTAGTTCGATAATGTACTCGTAAGTGTATCGAGAGTGAAGCTTGTTGTAGTATTATTCAGCAAAATGGACTCCAACTTGGATCTGTTTACCGCGTTGAATACTTTTATCGCGTAACCTAGAACGGGTCCATTAGTTTTCTCAGGCGGCACCCACTCGACAAAAGCCCCGATCGATGTGATGTCCATAATCGCGAAGTTACGCGGCTCTGATGGAGCTACAGATAGATCCACTCCTAAGTAGTGTAAAACCCTATCAAGTCTACATAATTTTTTTCGTATAGATTTTGTCGACCCGTAGTTTTTTATACAATACTTTACCTCCAGCATCGGTGTATTTTTGGAATTTTCGGGGCCTACTGTAGTTGCTTACGTCTCTCATAATACAAGAATACAGCGATACGTTATAGATCGAGTACATTTCGAGTCCTGTCACATTCAGTGAGGTCTTTTGCGTGAGGCTGTCGTACTTCGCTTGCAACATTTCCACGTGATACCAGGGAATGTTCCATCCGGGATCGCGGGGGGCTTTCCAGGACAGCTCAGTCCAAGTCGGCCAAATGAATTCCGGTCTTATGACGTCTGGCATGGGTGGATTTGACATTGGATGATACCGTGAAATGTCTACTGTAGACCATACGGCGATCCATTCAGGAATTGATGGTGGGATTTAATATTGACATCTCGATACAACCCAGATAGTTTTACCAGATAGTTAGCCCAGGGATAGGGAAATCAAAAACGACACGCAAACAAGATGCGGCAGACAAATTGCAGCCAGTAATTGTTTCCACTCGTACTTAAATACCTACGTCTTCCGTACGTCTGAACCATGACGTTTGCAAGCGCGCCAAGTACGCTGAAATCGGGCTTGTCGAGATCCATATTAAATCCTCTAACGGTCACAACGTAGCTAGAGCCATACGAATACAGTAGAAGAAAAAACAACGGGATTGATTAACTTGTTTGTCCAATAACTCGTCGAGGAAAATTACAGGATGCTAATCACAAGATTCATACTGCTATGTGTTTAGAAAAATATGGCCTAACCGATTTCACCTAACACTAGCGTATTTTATTCCTTTATAGCAAGTCAATTATAGTCAGATGTTATAATACATTTAGTCCTGGGCAGATTACTTAGAAAATTATGATTTATTGCTTATCTGTTAGTTGGATCGAAAAATGACAAACTAGGCAACTCGAGTTCGCCCTCTTCAGCTAAATGGAATCTGCATTTATATAGCGTATATAACACTATCCACAATTTTTTCTTAATTAGGTTTTCATCGGCGAACTTTGACATTGAATAACTTTTGAACTATGCGCCGCTGCCAAACAACTAATAGTTGGTTTAAAGCAACAGCCGGCCGAGCGAATTCACAGAAGATATGTGTTGAGAATGAAAAACATTTTTTAGTCTCTAAAACCAGTGCCAAGTTTTTCTTCCGGAGGTTCCATGAAGATTAATGAAGACTTCAGGCAAAAAGGCGTCAAGTAGAGATTCGTGACTGTTGCAAGCGTTTCAAGAGAAGAGACTGAAGCGTTGAAAACCAGCGAAAAGGTGACTAGATGCTAGGGCTTGAAGAACAAGAGCGCATTGCTGCAATCGTGAAAACTTTCCGCGAAAGAAAGTCTAAGGACTCTAAGGCCAAAATTACTACTCTACACGTAACGCGTCATAGAGTTGTAACCCAAATACTTGAAGTGCGAAAATTGAGTAAAATGGGTGTTCCGTAAAAGAAATTTCCGGCCGTTGTTGCAAATGCATGCGCTATATTCGACGTGCAATTAGCTGAACTTCAATCAAAACTTTAGAGCATATGGTCGCAATTCCTACCGCCCACTGAAGAACCATGTGAAAAAACCCTTTTTTTGTTGCAATAGATCTGAACGTAAGGTCTTACGATAGATTCCTCCTATTGCTATATTGATTGCTCCTATGAGGCAGCCGCTATCTTGAGTTTCCTATAAAGTTGTTTATTGTTTACGAAACATTGGCACGCCAATTGAAAGTGCGCAGTCTTGTTACTTGAAAGCACCAGACCTCATCGATATATCTCCACTATTTCCCCTAGATTGAGCCAAGAAGTATCCAACGTAAACTTCAACCCGCTTCCTATTGATCTAACTCGTGTGACTACGTGACCCTCTATGCCTTAGAAGGCATAACTGATGGGCAAGTGTATTCCACTAATGATTTATTGCGAAAAAAAAACTTGCGCCGAAAAAACTAATGACGCATAGGTATATGGCTGTCTAAAAATTACTAGAGTGCTGGGACAAGTCTATAAGAAGAAGGATACATCTGACACAAAAAAGATCTTTCTAGCCCAAGTAGTTCAAAAATTTTTTCAGAAATTTCTAAGTCCGTCCGATTGCTTTGTACCAGCCTAATAAATATTATATGCATGCACTCTGTTAAGAATGATGATATGTGCGACGCCATTAATTATTTAATAATTGTTGTGTCGGTTTTGCATATTCTACCAAAAAATTATTTTTCTAAATTTAAAATTCGTACATATCAGCCTTGATGATGTAACGATTTTGTTCGAAAGATTTTATTTTCGAGAATATACTTACATTTGATGCACTTTGTTTATAGTGAATATAAATGAATTTTGGTATCCTGGTAGCGTGAAGTTGTCGTTCATATTATTAAAAATTTGCACTTCAAAGCCGTCCAGTGGGCCATAGAGATATTTAGGCCGCTTCCACAAAATGTGGAGGTCAGTCATTTTTCCGGCAGCTTTTCCTTGCAGATGTGTTACCTTTGAGAGCCCTATTCAGGCAATACAACAGAAACTTCGGTTGACAAACAAAACTCCCGTGAGTCTTATGCGCTAGAAGCTAAATGGGTGGCACTGTCCCGTACGCCTAAGTGCAGCCCTCAATATAATATTTTCCGGATAATTCCTGCATCAGTGCTCATAACTTAAAAACCCTTAATAGAACATGGTAATATAATACTAATAGCGTGTTTTATGAGAATATTGCCCGGGTATGAATTGAGGATAATGTGGCCACCTATTGCCTATCTTGAGAGAGGCAAATCGTCCACTCATCAAAATAGTGACAATTCATTAACCTCGTTGTAAGTTAGTAGTAATACAAATACGCATTTCTTGTATTTTTGTCAAACTCTTCTCGATGACTTACAAATAGAGCGATGTGTTCATCATTATAGATTTTATATGATTGAATATATATATATATATATACATGTCTGTGCCGCTTTGCGAATTTCCCGGATGGAAGAACGAGCGTGCGCTGGGTTTTATCGCATAGAACATACATTGATTGGGGTTGAAATCAACAGGTGGTTTCTAAGTAGGCGCTTTAAGGACGGAGCCGACCTAACGCGATCCTCATCATTAAAGGCCAGTGACGGCGGTAATAATGGATGAGAACGTGCAGAGAATGGGGCGATTGGGACAAGCTATGCTTACCAGCCGGATCACCATAAGACAAACACCAGAAGCTTATGCTGGGCCGCTTTTACTAATCGCTTAGATGTTGGAAGGTTTACGGAAGAAAAAAGGTCGAAAAAAAAGTCCGTGGCTTTCTCGACGATCGATTATTTGAAAAGTATTTTAAAGATTAGAAAATTGTGCAAGGGTTATAAGCTGGCGGAGATTACTCACAAGGGGTCAGACAACTAATTTTTGAGCAGAGTAATATATATATATATGTAATACAAGCCTGCCAACATTCGTCAGGAAGGTCGTTCTTAATGTATTCGAGCACATTCGTTGTTTGAAGTAAGTACGAAAGTAAAGCGATTCGTTTATCCGCGGCACATTTGATTTATTTATCCTTTCCTTTTTGGCGGTCCACGCCTCAAAGAAGGCCGGTTTATACATCAAGCTAGGCGTATGGATCTCGATATATAGCGATTTGCTAGTGCGTTTTATGAGACGTGCTACCTCGGAATGAGGTAAACACTCTACAAGAAATTGTCAGCTTCTTATTATGAAAGCTGATGTGAAACAACATTTTTTTTTATACAAGATTATATTTATCTAGTGCATAGATTGAATATAGATAGATATAGATTGGAAATCTATGGAAATAAACGTGTCAGAAGCTAGAAGAGCTGTAAGTAAAATTTCTGCATATCCAGTCGAGGTATTGCACTTCTTAAATATTTAGATTTTACATTTGAGCGTAAACGGTATTCAAATCCCTAGTCATCAAACGTTTCCAGATCGCTTGCCATTGTGTCACCGGCATTATTGTCGTTTGCCAGCTATCGGCGCTAAAGCTCACAACGAGCGCTAACGAATACTGGACAAATTTTCTTTTAAACAAAATTCTATAAATAGTGGGAGGATTACCAATTAATTTTTCCACCAGTATCGGCTCAACTGGACCAGACAAGTTTGTTTATAGCTCGCGTATGGCATATGCCTTTGCCGCGATTTAATGACGCTAGCTTAAGCCCCCCCCCCCTTTAAGTGGAAATGGTTCTATAGGATTACTCACTAGAATTTAAATTCTCGATCAGAATAGAGGTATTCTTTCCAACGACTGATTTGTTCTTCCGATTGACATTTACTGCGCTGACTATTAATATAGTTCGCGTTAACTGCAGGATTCTGCAGTTCCACCGTTACATTTCTACCGTCAACCACTTTTCTCAAATGGCGAACAGACAAAGATACACCAGAGCGGTATATGGAGCCAAAAGAGCAGCGTTTTTTTCTACCTATTGAGGATCTATGTATGGCCCCACGCAAATAGGTACGTCAGTGTGTCCTAAACGTTTATGTTTCGTTTCGATAAAACTATTCTTGAGACAGCGGGGCCATTCTATCAAACAACACCTACGCCCGGTTTCGAGCATTTCGCGTTAACAGCAAATATCTGCCGGAGATCGTTTAGGGCTTCGTTTAGGCAACATAAGGAGAAGTATATATATAGGAGTTTCATATGTGGTAGGGTATATATATAATACGGTGCATCTATTAGGCCGCAATGGTATCATCGTTCAAGATAGAACGCTATACGCTGGTATACTGCAATCGACAGTCACCGTAAGTGCACCGCATGTTCACTAGTGAGTGATATTAACATGATAAAACGATTCTACTGGCCGATGCATAAGAGAACATTGTCACACATTCATGTAATACATAAATTCAATGAATCTAGAAATTTCCAGTAGACCTATAGTGATAAGTAGCAGACGTTGTCAAATATCATTAATAACAAATAGGTCATGAGAAGATTCATAGAACTTAGATGTAAACAAACATTAAATCTAGCCAATAAAATAGGACTCCCTAAGCAATAGTTTCCATGAAGTTAACATCAATTAATAATATTTGATTCTCGCTGTAGCCTTGCACTATGTAATAGCTGATTGGCCCATTGGCCGTGCTTTTATCAGGGGAATTCCAACGTACACTTACTATGCCAGTGCATCCCGCCGACATGCGTACAGTTCCTGCACGGCGCCAGGAACTCCAACGTCTGTTTTAAAATCGAAGGCTTGCGAAACCCCGTCGAAATCCTGATTTTCAAATGTTACTTTCATATAGATATAACGCTAAGTTGATGTGACTTTTAGCATCGATGATGTGACAAATGATCTCGTGTGGTACGTTTTTGGGACGTTTCCACACGAGCGTTGCTCTACTAGAAGTAGCATTAGTGCTAATCCTCCATACAGGACCCGGCTCTGGAAGGAAAAAATCTCTGTAGTAGCAGGAAGAAATCTTCGCCACTTGATCTAATCGATGCCTTTGACGTGATAGTAACCGACTTAGAGGCTCGCTGAATGTCTGATATATTTCAAATTATACTTAACGAACAATCTGTTCGTGATGGCGAGATCGGCTAACTTGAATGTGACATGAGATGAATCTTCGCGGCAATTTCGTTTACTGTATAATATACTACCGGTTCGTGTACAAACGGTGTCTTCGCAAAAATAGAGTATTGCCTAATAGCTCACTGTCCTCGTTACGAGCCTTACTTTTATACATTCAAGTTGTCGTGGCGGCCTAACCTTCAATGATTGTAATAATGATAGTGATAACCGAATTGCTTCCGGAATCCTGCTGACTCCATAGCACTGCTAGCGTTCACTTGTTATTACGTATCGAAAGTTCATTTACCTATTGCAAGGATGTTAACCCTTGTCGATACATTTCTGAACACGGCCTTATCTCGCTGAAATGACCGGAATAATAACCGGAAATATTTCACAAACACGTCAGTGTGGCTTTGTGCTATTGACGGTCCATTATACTTAGTTCGAAGGGCTGAACTGCGTGACTGACGAGCAGACGACTTCCTCTGTAGCTTACTGCTGGCGTTTTCGCGATCTGAATGTCTCTCCCATATAGAATACACGATATATCCATTTGGTCGCCGCGTGGAGCTGAGAAGTTTCCACTCCACCGTGAATTTTACCCAGTTTATAAACCTGACCAGGCCAAAAATATTAACGTTTGACATATAAGGGTAATCTGTAAAAAAAAATCTGTAAAAAAATAAAATTCCGATATTATTAGCCGTCAAGATTTTTGAACCTCCATTTCAGTGGATGAAAACACCTTAAAACGAGCAATGTAAATCAAATATAATAATAATAAAATCAGAGCAATGGTAGCAGGGTCCAAATTGCTGAAGCTATGTTATCTCATAATTTTTCATACGCTAACTAACACGCTAGATTATTTAATCTAGTGTTTTAGTTATCCTTACTTACATGTACTATGTGTACAACCTTCCATGTCTCTACAACAGATCTATAAGAACTTGGCCATGATCGCCAGCCCTTACCTTCAACGACTGCGGTAAAAGAGCCGTTCAGCGGCGGTCCATACGTTCGTTCGCCAAGTTCAGCCTTTAATTTTGCAACGACACTAACCGAATATGTTCTGTTGGGAATAAGGTTAGCAACATTATAACGTGTCGTACGCAACCCCTTAATCGTACTGTAATTATAGGTTAGCTCATAAACAAGGCTGGCATTCGCTAGAGGATCCGGGTGATCCTAACCAGTCATACCATCCGTTGGTGAGAACGCGGCAAATTGTAAGTTGCTCGGACTAAGCCCTGAAAATTAAGATGTATCACCAGCTTTGTGCAGATAACTGGATTAGATAGTAGGTCAGCCCAGAATAACCCCGCAGGTTGTCAGCGATAAACTAGTTACCTTCTTGAATTCGAACTTGGGCTATTTCTAGAAGGCTATTTGACACTACACTTTGCAATTTAATAGTAGGTTAGGCCTTCACGGAAGCACTTCATTTTTTTCTTAAGCCCTTTTTTTTTGTTTTTTTGAAAGAAAAAACAGTACTAGCCAAATTTTGAGAAGAAGAAACCGATAAGCTGCTAACCGACATATAGTTGCTACATGAATCCGGACCTAGGCAATTGTTAACTACATTTTGTATCAAATGTTGAAAACTCACTTCGCTTCTCTTGTGTTGCAACGGATTTAGTGGCGTATTTACGCACAAGCCTGTTAATTGGAAGATAAGTTTACCTGAACCTTCGAGGATATTGAGGCCTCATGTCAAGACGTATGCTTGGTCAGCTCAGACGTACAGTTTATCCTCGTGTAACATGCAAACACGGTGAAGTTATCTAGTAGTCTTGGTTCCTGCTCGGTCTGCCAGGAAATCAAATATGTAACGAAATTTTTTGCTTTCGATGACAAGACGCTGTACTCTATGAGTCACATATTTAGATTATGAACAAATTTAGTATAAAATGTCCAAAATATATGCACGAAATCTCAATTGCACAATCAACGATAAGAATGCCATTCTCGAGTTGCCGCTCTGATTTACTAAAATAGACGATTTTCTTAACTTTACGGGAAGCGCTGATCGTTTCTTATTTACTATTAAATTCGACACCAGACACGAAAACTCAGCTGACATTAGCGAAATTGACGGATTGACAACGATCCGTTCTTGACATTGATTGACTGTAAATAACCAAATGCCAATAAATATTGCTACGAAAAATAGATCAGGAAGAACTATCGCTTACTGCAACGGTATCATGTCTTCAAATGAAAACCTGCTACTATTTGTATTATGCCTATGCGGCTCTGTCCCTCTTCGCCTAATCTTTCATGTTTATATATTGTTGTTTGAAAGCACGTCGAATGTGCTTAGGCCACCGAGCTACCGTTACCTTTTGAAAGCGTGATGGACGTGCTGTGAAGTGCTGGTCCATATAGTTTTTTGCCATTTTTCAACGTTACGAATGGAGTACTAACAACCGAATACTTTTTATTTCTCTTCTTCAAATTGAATGCCGTAAACGTTGTTGCCGTCTAGCCTTTAATCAGTCTACCAGCGAATTTTATATCATAAGAAACGTCAGCATTGTCCTACGAATATGAAGGATCCCAACGGAGTAGCACATTCGTTAATGTCAACGGAGTAAATTGCAAGTTTTTTGGAGCTTCTGGCGCTTTAGTGTCTGAAACGATACAACCAGTACTATGCATCAATTTGGTGAAAAGCTACTGCTGAACGTTACCAACTTTTTAGTACCATTTCAGTGACAATTTATCATAGATAACTTAGATTATTCATCGTGTGTGCTGATCTTAAGTGGACCTGAAACAACTTGAGAGAATCTAAGCATTATGATCTTCAGCAGACTAATGCTCGGCCGGTTGCCGGTAGGCATTACGGTGCCTCAAGCTTAGCCTCGGTCCAATTCAGGAATAAGAAGATCCTTTTGGTCATTGAAAACAGGTGCTCATAACGACGGCACTCTCCGTCATCTCATTGTGCTGCTTGAGGGTGATTTCGTAATTTAATTGAGACAAATAGAGAGAGGTCGTACATAAACTATTTCCAAATAAAACAAGCGGAAACGATAAAGCTGTTGATGGACCACTGCAGAGGCAGTGCTCCAGGATGACACTCTGTATGCAGGAAGTGGGATTTTGTCAACATGATGAATGTGTTCACCATGTTGGATTTTATTTGTTTGCAGATGTTAAACAGAAATTGCAAGCCAGTTTCACAGGATTAAGCACAGACAAGTAATACAGCAAAAAGCACTTGCTTGGACAATTACCTCATTACATACTTCAGTGACAAGCTTGTAGGCACTCAACCGCATAAATTTGTCTTACAGAATTAATTGGGACCGGAAAAATTTACTTATATATAAAGGGGACTTTTACATAACAGTAAATAAAACGGTGTTATACTTGGCGCTTCTAATCTGAGGCGCCATATTTTATCGTAAATATATAGCAAACGAATCTTATCTCGAAATATTTCATAACATTACTGTCTCTTCTCTACGGAAGTAAGCCTAGATAAGCGCACTGATTTTCGTGATTGTGATCAAACCATTCTTGATTGCAAACCAACTCATTGCTACAGATATCACCGACTGAAACAAAATATGAGAGAAATTTTAAGATGCCAGATGCACACTGTGCCGCCTACCTGAAGTCGCATCTGTGGTGAACGATATTAAGACTCTTCTTGACGCATCTGGTTCAGAGGAAGATGGTAGTTTGATTGAATTCTGATATCGTACGTTCGAGAAGGCTGGAGCATAATGTTTGATTTTTCTGTGTTTTAGTAATGACACAGCTAGTTTTCAGGCATATGAGCACGGTGAAATTGTCGACGTCCTTCGGTCCTCGCTCGGCTCTCCACGCGATCCTGTACGAGGCGTAGTTACTCTAGGCTGGATGGCTTCGCCGGCTCGAATAGGTGTGCGCGAGACGGATATTCGTTGCTGGAGCATAATCTATGGATTGGGGTATAATCGATATAAGTAGGAATTGCATCAGTTGATTTTTACTTAGAACGTATGTACATCTAGTTGTAATAAAACGTCTATTATTTCAAGTCTTCTAATGACTTGTTTACCTTCCACGAGCGTGGTAAACGAATTGTTCAGTGGTGGCCCATACAGTTTAGTGCCATTTTTCAGCACCACGCCAGCACGAATACTCATTGGATACGTGGTATTCTTCGTGAGGTTGTTTCCCAGGTATGTCTTCAATGACTTCTGTCTCGCCATACTGGACATTATAAGTGAGATGGCCCTCCACATTGGGTTCCGGAGGAAGCCAGCCAAGTAACGTATGCCTTGGCGACAGCTGAGCAAATTCGAAGTTTCTGGCCAGACCTAAATGCTTAACAAGTGCAAATACGTAGAAATATAATTCGTTGTACGTATATCAAACGTCTCAAAAATTCTTCCAGCCAATTATTTTCAAATCAACGAACAGCTGAAGGTTGAGCCAGAAATATGACATAACTACGTTATTCTATAAAAACGATTACGTACTTCCGTTTTAATTATTTAGATTGAAAAGTGGCGCGTACTGACCTGGAGACTTGTCTAGGTCACGAGTCGGAATCTTGTTAAAGGGCCTAACGTTTCTAGCAAGGTATTGAGTCCGGTACAGCACTGAGTCCGATAATATCGTTAGAACCCCCTAGTGACGGCTTGATGACTGCACCGGTATTTTCGATACCGAACCTCCTGATTTCGACAGGAAAATATGAAAGGACGTTCTAATAGTCTAATAGTCATTCAACTCGTCTAAATTTAATTCCAGTTGAGCAGAATTAAAACAAAAAAAAAAAAAGGTACAATATACGTTACGGCTCGTTTGCCAATCGGCAAAGAGATTGTCGACTACTGTGCTCTTTCGCTTCTTCCACTGTTTGTTTGAATGTTTGCGTCCTTTGGCTCCATTAATTTAAATATATCACATTCTACGTCTTTTCGCATGGACGTCTTCTGCATCTTTAGGATTTTATGTTCTGCGTCGGTGAAGTCTATAACAAACCAGAAAGGGCGCATCGTTTATAAGGTTACAGGTACAAGGTAGTGTACAGATTAGAATCTTTAAGGGCAAACGTTCACATTATCCGGTTATCTTTGCATGTGGCAGCGCTGTACGGTGAGTACGCTAAGATCCTTCACAATAGGCTTAATTTGCATAACTTCTCCCCAAAGGCAACATTTGAAACTGGGATTTCAACGTCTTAAATGCAATATGGCGCATTTTGACCGTTTGAAGTAGCTTAAGAGATCACTCCCAAGAACTTGCTGTTCGCTGTTTGTGTTCAAGCTTACATCGTTAACGTGAACTGTAGTATATATATTCCTGGATATAACATGTTTATATCTGTATGCTGAGGTTGTTCCCTGTGAGCGGCCTGACGTGGTCTGGGAACAACAGGTGAGACTGTGCAAAAAAGTGTCTTTTTTTTTCCAGGAATTCTGTTTCTTTCTTTCTTTTTTTTTTGGAATTCTTTTTGCGCCATATTCTGGTTAGGCTTTGAGAAGTTTGCTGTCATGAATGATCGCTTCAATGGCGGATTCAAAATCAACACTTAAATGATCAAATGATTTTCCATTGCTCACTATGACAGCCGAGTCACTTTGGATCTCTGACAGTTGCATAACGACGGAACGTTTTGGTCGGTTCGTGAACTGCTGTAAAAAAAGATTACGCCATGGCTATCTGTACTGTTGTAGACAGCACAAGATACGGTGCTTGTCAGGAGGTTACATTGTACCGAAATGGGAGGAAAACGGACGATGTTTGTCAGAGAGGTCACTTTTGTCATTCACCGCGCCGACAATGATGGTCCGAAAGAGTTTAGAAATTGTGCCGTTTCAAAACACGGGAACTTCACGTTTCCTTACAACGGCAATCGAAAAAGCAGAAATGCTTTTGTGCGCTTATTCTTCATTGGCACTCAACGCTGACTGGCGACATGTCAACGTCGTTAACCCTATGCGTTTAGTTTCGAACTTGAATTAAACATCGAGATGGCCTTGCGCACAACTAACTCCTTCAGGCAATGGATAGACGCATTGCGAAGACGGTCTTCGCTGTCCTATCTGATCTTCTAATAGAAGTAAGACTGCTTAGATTTTAGACGCTGTTGAACATGGTTCTAGTTCTTACCGATGCAACTCATTACCAATAAGTAATCCCCATCTTACCCAGCGTCTCCTACAGCTTGCTTTGAAAACTAGCTTCCGGTTATGACTTCTGTTCTAAGCTGATGACTAGTACGTTTCAGTAGTAAACGAGTGTCAATCATGTATCTTTGTTGGAACGAAGAGCTCTTGCAGAAATCTCACGTGCTAAACAAAACGTTCGTCCGGTTGTACTTGCCGTGGCAATTGAAGAAAAAGCGATTTCGGTCAACGTTTAGTAGGCTATAAACAGGCTATAAATCTTGCCGTATCGTGATCACCTCTCTTGATTTAGGAACGGTAAACTTCGATGTTGTGGCTCGACAGGAAATCGTATGTGTTTAATATATGGTCATCTGCGATATGAGTGTGATAGACAATCACGTTAATCGTTCTTACCGCAAACGATGACAAGAGTCATCATTTGCGGTAAGAAATTGCTTTAGCCCTGTTCTGTTACGGAAGTTCAACGTTGTTTGGACTACTGTAGCATGGACTATTGTAGCATGGCTGGGTTTTCTAAAGCCCAGCTTCAGTCGTTTCAGTTGCCTTGACTTAGTCGACCTAAACATCCCTTACAATTGTATTAGCATTTCAGGTTTTATCGTCGAACGGTCGGTATCACCTTCAGGTATCTCGACTTAGAAAGAGCTATAGGGCGTACAACGCGTTTCGAGCTTTTTTTATCACAAAAAGGTATTAACTAAATGGAAGGAGGTTCCTATGCAGGTACATACAAAGTTTAATATCTTGTTCAGGCCATGTATATATATATATACTGGCATTGATAAGCAAAGAATGAAACAACGCACAGCTTAAGAACAATAACAAATGCGTAACAGGACTGGTTTTGTTTACCAACTAAGTTCAGGTCTAACTAAGACTAAGAAATGGGTCAATAACCGGGCCTCAAACCTAGACCAGGTACGTTTTCATGACAGAGGTAATACGGTATAACGCCGCTATCACCTGAAGATAACTTGCTTGTTAAGGCATTAATGTTGGTATGATTAATATTAAGCTAATGATAAACTAAACGATTTATTATATATGTATACTGCGTCTTTATATGCAGCGAACGCTTCTTCTTCCGTGCTTCCGTTAATGGAAAGCGGTTTTTTTTTAAAAAATAGAGTCAACAAAACCTTAAATTGACGTACGTTGTCTCAGAGTCCTTAGGGTCTTCATCATGGAGGCGCATCATATAGTAATAAAGCGCTTTATGGATTTCAAATGCAGAAGGTTCAGGCTGTTCCCAAAATAAACGCATGTCTTTAGAACCAAGTCTTCCCAACGTTTTCAGATTTTGAGCAGAACCAGCAGTTTCGTTCTCGGTGATGAACTCGAGCAGCGTTTGGTTTCCATAGAATTTCTGATTATTGTACGTTACTTCAGGTACGACGCTAATTCTGCGTGTTACGCCAATGGTAAGGTCTTCCAGGAGGACACTTTCATTACGCGATGTTGTTTCAACTTTATCTTCATCGCGATCTTTGAGGGTGGCGGATACGTTCGTGGGAAGATTCCGAAAGGGATCAAGGCTCCTGGAAGTCCTATTTGCTCTCACGTTTCGAATAGAAGCAAACTCTATAAAACGAAGAAGACAAGATGTATATTTCACAATTCATGTGAGGATCGTGTTTCGATGCAGCAATCATGTTTGATCGGGTCAATATCCGTCTTTCGGTAAAAAACACTGTTTCAAATGGTACTATAAAAGTTTATGGTTTGTCACGTGTTTAGAGTCACAAATTTGTATAATGAAAACATTGATCGTGTGACTGTCAATCTTGTAATCGCTAACACTTATGAACCTCCATTTTTTTGCCAACTTGATGACAAAAAGGTTGTACCTCGGCACTTTTAGACATTAGTCTATGCTTTACCAATGCAAGATGCCGTACAGATCGGTACTAATAGAGTTAAAAGACCAATTCATATTGCTCGAAAAATAGCCACGGTTTAATACAAGGTTGCCGTGGTAATCTTATCATTTTTTTTTTTGCAGTACCCGTAATATGCCCGCCGCCCGCGTTGTAAATAGCCTCAAAGAAAAATTCAATAAATGCGTGCAGCTGCTAGTTGACGATAGAACAGATTTTACCCACGGTCCAGCTAACACCTATACTGTCGCTAAACTAGGCCAACAAAACGACTATCAGCCTGTGGTACAAGGACAATGTTTAATTGCTTAAACAATGTCTTTTGGATCGATAATCAAATAAATTAATTACTCTGTAATAAACAGCATACAGATATATTTCAACTGGTGCACCTATTCAACAAATAAACGTGAAAAGCATATGTCACAATATATTTTTTTGGCACGCTAGCGACGCATCACTAATATATCTATGTTGCATTAATACTCTTAAAAGTTACTATCGGTAATCCACACCCTACAATCACATCGTCAGGGAATAGCTCGTAATTTGTTACTCTGTTTATACAAAGGTACCTACGAGGTAATAGAAAAACATTTATAATAAAAAAAAAAGCCAAAGACATTCGGTACTTGGATTTTCACCTAAATTCTGGATCCCATATGCTTGGCCGCCGCCTGTACATTGATTCTATATTATTTTGAACGGATGTACGAAAAAGTCACCTACTGATTCCAGGTGCTTCGAAAAATTTCGAAGAATTCTCCTGCACGGCAATGTTGTACCGCTGGAAATATTGAAGGGGTACACGGACGTGTCTTTCCGGTGTATGAACATCCGTACAATTTTCCGATGGGCATATGAGCACAGTGAAGTAATCCGTCTGCGTCCCGTTCTGATTAGTTTGCCAGTTAATGTTGTACATAAGGCTCTCGGTCGTATTGCTGACGAGGGCCAATTCTGCGGACGTAGCCAAGAAACTTCATGTATGCTGATAACATTTAACGCAACTCCCTTTCGCAATTTCTTCCGCAGATTATGGGTTCGCTTTTGGATCTCTTTATGCTGGGGAAAAGCCCTTTGACAGTTGAACAATCTTCACTGAACATATATGCTGCTTTTGTTATGTTGATTCGCGAACTACTTTAACAGACATAGGATAAACATTGTTCAACTGGTAAATAACTCTGAATCTATGAAGAGGTTTCGACAAATATCAGACGCTACAAATCTAAAGCTACTGGTAACGGTATAGGTTTACAAGAAGTATCGAACGCTAGGCAATATACTCTGCCAATCAGCATGTAAAACAGCTTGATGAAAAGCTTGAAAAAGTTCGAATAAAACGATGTCATCATTTATCTGTTGAGTTCACTGTTGTATCTGTGATATTCGAATAACCAGTACGGTTAGTAGCACTTACTGATTTAAAGTAAACTGCTAGCTCCATGTAAATATGCAGAAATGATAATTTACTCGAATTGGTTTATTGCACAATCATTGTAATTATCAAGTATTACACTATAACATATCTTACTGTTTCTAATCTTTACAACAACAATGCTATATATGCACGCTTCTTCGATGTAATGAGAAGATTTATGTCTCCCATCTGCCAGCACGAAGACCGGCAGGATGTTTAACACATCAGTGCATATCAGGTCTGCTGGTGGCTGTATTACTAGCCTGAAGTAAACATCGTGAGACAAAGTAGTAGATACTAACCAACCGCGTGAGATACAATCGGAAAGTGAATCGCATTTTCGGTAGGAGACCTGCTCTAAATATTGAAAGTGATAGGGCTCAATGAGATTATATAGTTGGTTCTCTCTAGAGGTGATCTGATATGTAGAGTAAAGTTTGATCCGTTGTGTATTCTCCTGAAATAACCCCAGAACACATGAATTAATGCAAACATAGAGGTAAATAGTAGAAGGTATAGAACTAATGGCCCGAGCGTTGCGTCCGCTACTATGGCAGGCACTGCTCCAAACGGCTGACACTTCACATGTCTCTAGGTAAACACAAGGTAAACACGTTCCTGACGCGCTATCAATAAAAACATGCCCCTTTAATTTTCCATTCTAATTTGATTGAAATAAACATAGTACTATTATGACGACCGCCCTATTTCATACGTACGTTTCAATTATCGGTACGCCAATTCCGTGGTAGACGCGCAGAGGGTAATACTCTATTGGTACGTTTACGTTGTTTGTACCTAGGTTCTGAGCCACTTGCAAACCTTGTACTGGGTTCAGACGTTAGGACATCGGGTATATACAAACGAGATAATGTTGATATTGTGTGAGATAGTGTATGTAAGAGATACGTTGAAGGAAAATAGTAGTAATACAATTTAGCGGCCATTTTGTCAAGTGATATTTTGCATCTCTCAAAGTTGTCCGGGTCTGAAATTAATTTAGCGGTTTGTCTCATCCCAGTAACAGTGAAGGTAACATCTATATCGCTGTTAAAACCGCATTGAGTGACTCGGAGCGTAAGGACTACGATAGGTATGCGGTAAACATGGACGCAGGTGGTTTATATATCTTATAGTGTATTGCTGCCGCCTGAGCAGAACGGCACCGTTGTCATAGTGACCACGTTTTCAAAATAAGTGAAATAATAATGCTACCAACAAGGGTGGGTAGTACGTCACTGGGCAGCACTATTAGATGCTCTGAAAGACTCGCTGTTACCTGGCACAATGCCCACCTTTGAGGAAATTATTAGAGGCCTCCTTTCCTAAAAGATCCGTCCCGTGATGATTGACATGAACTGTCTGGACGATGTTGCAAACGGCGCCAAGTAGAAACAAGTTGATAGGAAATTTAGCATTTGTAGCACTGAACGCTTTGCTGAAGAAACGATAATAAAACGATGAGAAAGAGTTAGTGAACTATTGTCAACCTATAGATCTGGCAGCTTCGCTGCTCTGCCTACCTTTCAGTGAGCGAAGTACGGACATGAGAGTAATTATGTATTAGAAATTATATCGGATATATTAAATTAAAATAGCACATACTATAATGTAAATGTATGTGAGGCATCGTGTGTTATGAAAAGTTCGTGTTTGCCATAATATATCTAAACAGATGCATTGGAGGAAACATTCGAGCACGGCGGATGTTCGTGTAGCTTATAACGAGCTCTCCAAGAGTATGTCTTCTTTGTAATCATATCAAGACATATATATTATGTGTTACAAAGAAGACTTTGTAAGGTACATCTATTGCATTGTTTCTCTGCAGTGTTTATGTCCCCGAAAGTCGGAGCTCGTTCTTTCAATTACTAACTGTCGCTAATTTTCAACTTCTCGCTTCTAGTGTACTTAACTTAGTACAGTGTTATATACCTATATATAAACTTTATTAAAGCCGCTATTGCAAGGAAAGTTAGTCTGGAATATATTATGGAATGAGCTTAAAACAAATTAACATGAAGGTAAAATGGATTATCTCTAGCGAGATGCGCACGTTTTAAGACATCGTTCATCTTCATAAATCCATGAAAAATAAGACATCTTCATAAATCCACAATCATAAACTCTCGCAAACAGTTTACGAAATTTACCAATGAGAGATTTAACCACGCTATGTACGTAAAACATTAAGAGCTGAATCAGCTGAATCGTGTTCCACTCATCAGTGCCTAATATAATGAATTTATCTGACTGCCTTATCGACTCATTGACGGTATGCCTGTAAATGTGATAAGCGACCGCTTGCATTGTCTCGTGTCTGTGGGTGCGCGTTAGGTTCGCTAAAGGAAAATATCCTACAATTTGAATTATTTCAAGTATTTTACATAGTGAAACAAGTGTCAACAACTGGGAAAATTATATACTATCCTCTTACAATTGTGCATATATATGTAACATTTTTTAAAAATTTTTTACAACTGGATTTCCAATACCAGTTGATGGACGGGTAAAATATCAACATCCGTTGTAAATTAGGTCGTCCAGATGAGTTTAAGAGGTTAGTCTCTTTGTGCAGATTTATATCGTTTGGACTTTGACCTGTTATCGGCCAAAAAATGAGTGAGAGCCTTTGCAGAACACTAGATCGAACAGAACGCTAGAAAGGTCGAATCATATTGGTAGGTATAAACTTTATATAATATAGTTTATACCTACCAATATGACTCGACCTTTCTAGCGCATTTAAATCTTTTCGTATCTTAGATATAATTTTCAAAAAGAAGCAACAAAAATGATCAATTTAGGCGCTTAGCTAGATGTGTATTGGTTGCCTAGAGCGTCCGGATTTAAATTGCATGTCGATGTTCCAATACATGCTCGCCCATGATACATGATAACCCAAGTTCGGGACAGATGTTCGAAGAATACTCTGAAAGCTCGGTTATATATAGTTTTTTCTTCATTGTCATGTTTGAGTTGACAAAAAGGAACGTTACCCTCTTTCCGAGTACAAACGATTTATGCCGAATCTCGCTTAGTCACTAAATGTCCTTATATTTAGTGGGCAAACGCCGCCATTACACCGCTTCAAAGACATTTCTACCTTGTAAACATGTACGTTAACAAGCCGTTAATCCTAAGGGGAAACTAACGTATACTTTCCTTCGTCGATTTCCTAGATAGTTCTGTCGTTACCTTCATCGTGAATTCGAACTGTCTCTTTTCCCACAAGCGTCCGATTATGTTGACTGATGGTTGTGGCTTGTACTATGATGCTATAATTTGGTCGTTGGATACGCTGGTCCACTGCCATAGCCGCATCTGTGCCATTAAGCACCTGTCGAAGGTCACCTCTGAAGGAATAACGAAGAAAAATCAGACTTGTCCTGTCGTTCTCTAATCCAATTTGCAATAACGGCATTCGGTGTCTCTACCTATTCGAAACATACTGGTTCTTTTGGCTAATTTTGGGAATCTAGATTGGCATTATCAATTATTCAAATGCATATATAGATTGTGCCGCCGATAGAATAATTAATTTATACATTTATTATATTTATATATTTAATATAATATATTATATATTTAATAATAAATTCAAAATTATAGGTTTAGTAGTTGAGTTTACTAAATAGTTCCGTCGATAAAATATTTTATCGGCGGAATTATGATCTGATTTTTTGATTTCTTTATCAATGAGAGTCTGAGCAAAGGTGTGGAACGTACAAATGGAGAATGCTCTAGTAAATACTGATACGTTACATATTAATGTAACGTATCAATATTTACCTATAATGGCTTTTGTTTTATTCGTACCAGCCAAAATCTTCACCAATTAGTGCTCTAGATTTGTTACTTAAAATGTAACGATGATTAGTTATAATATAACATCAGTCGATAGCCTCGTGTCACAAAAAAAGCTTCATATTGATTTCCATCGTTTGCCCTGCTCGCATCGCAAAAAAAAAAACACGGTTATCTCGCGTTTTTCTAACTATTAGAACTTTATTACGTACAGTTCCTCAAACTGATGATGCGCCATATTAGACAGTGTCATGATGTAATATGTAATCGTTGTATTTGTGTCGTTTTTTGGCCAATACGTACTGATATTTTTGCTTTCGCTCGTTATATCGGTCACTTTCAAGATTCTTCACTTGTTTTGGCGTGTCAACCGCAGTGGTGCAGACGAAATTAGACTTATGTAAACATTCATAAGTCTGGTTGTGGTACGTTACAACTAGGTAGATGCTATCGTTGAGAAGGTATTAAGCCTTCCGTTTCAGTTGTTCGCTAGATGTCATGTATGATATGATATTTGCCGGCACTTTCATCCACGGGAGCTGTCCGCTTGTGGGTGCTGCATCAGCCGTAATGTTTCTGACGGCGTCCGTAACGGTAAAGCGAATAAGGACAGAGGAATAAATACACCATTAAGAATATCCAAAATATTCTTAAGAGATCGTCTAATTGATGCGAGGAAATAAGAAAAAAAACTCGAGCGTACGTCAGGTATTCCATCAAATGCCCTATCGGCCTTGACGTAACCGTAAATAACTATTGATTTCATACATAATTAGAAAAACAAATTTCATTTGCCAAAAAAAATGTTTTTCCTTATCTACGGGAAAAGAATTTTTGTGCAGGATTTACTACCACCAACGAGGCTGAGGACAAATATTATATGGGCCTTCTATATATATAGTACTAGGACGCGTACGTTTTTCGTTAGTCTCCAGAAGCCAGTTTCAGAGAACATTGTAACGAGCGCTATGTACAGGATATCTGAATGCGCTTAGTAGAAAGCAATACTTACCTATTTCGGGTGTTGAAAGTAGCTCCGATACATTTTGATTGACGGCCACGTTAAGCAGGAGTCGGTACCTCGCTTCTATAGTAATATCGTACCGTTGCAAATATATTGCCGCTAGGTTCAGCTCGCCCTCTTTTGTTTCCTCATTAACACTTCGAGAGTTACGCGAAAAACACAACGAAATTATCAACGATGTGAAGTTCCTCGTGTTCTGCTTAACGACAGAACAATTCGCCGATGCATAATCTGAGAATACATAAGATCTTTGCAGCGGAAAATTATGCATTTGTTAATTGAAATGGAATGTTTTTAACTGTATACAAAGAACAGAAAAATATTTTTTCCTTATAAGGCATTAAAGCACTGCTGCTGGTAAGGACGTAACAGATATGACTGGTACATAGACTACGATAGTTGACAAGAAACACCTGTAGTTCTTTACACTAATTCTGTATAAGGCATAAAATACATAGGGCAGTTTTACGGCAGTGCGCCCCTTTTGTTTTCCGTTGTTATATCTATTGGACTGAATGTTTTCTTCGATTTACACCCACGGTGTAAACATGAACGTCTCACACTAGACATCTTTAGGATTCGAACAAAATGGTTGATCATTTTATTTGAGCACCAAAATGACCCGTTGCCTCAACGTAATTCATTTAGCAGGTATATTCAACTAATGCACACAAAATCCAATCTGACATACTCTGTATTATCCTTTCGAAATATTTGAGCCTATAGGCGACCAACTGTAAATGACCGAACTTATTAATAATTATGTTTGACAAATATAACATTGCCGTATATGATTGATAACGTCGATGGAGGATGGTAACCGCTCCGCTTAACGGTAGGCTCGTCTTGCTGCCTGGTTGTTTGAGGGGAATCGATATCATCACCATGTACATCCTGCGCGGCCGGGTAAACGGTTCATGTCGTTGACTGTTGTGCATAACTTCAGGCAGCGTGGGTTAGGCAGTGTGTTATGCCATAGGCAATACCAAGCAATCAGAACATTGGACACTGATAACAAACAACGTAAACTGCAAATCTCTGTCTCAGAGCACTGATTTCTACGCAGAAAATGCACAGAACACTATCTAATGGTGTTTGTCAGGAAAAAAAGGAACTATGCCTGCAGGCAGTTTTTGTTCTATTGTTCGTCACGGTTCTAACCTGAAAATTCCAACTATTACTTATCGAAAACTTAATAACGGTAACAACGGCAAGTCACCATTTCCTCTACTCTGTCACACTGACGTCAACTCAGGCTTAAGATAGAAAGGATTATTGATGTTCTAGCTGTATTTAACCGTCTTTCTCCTTTATAGATTGACAATACTAACCAGCTTCCAGATACGCTACTGGGTGTGAAAGCTCCTTTAAGTTCCTCCTGTAAGTCACAGCGATCATATGATTGGCTTTTGCTAGAGGCGGATCTATACGCACCGCGTTATTGGTGTGATCTGTTATTCTGCAAATATATATAAGCTGTATAAGTGTTTCTGAAAAACCACCGGACCACCAAATTTTGAAAGCCTTCTAATTATAGCCAGTTATATAGTATAGTAATGTAACTATCACAGTCAAACTAGCTACCATTGACGAACGTTCAGAAATATAACGTAACCTCATGAAGATACTTCAGCGCTTTGCTTCGTTTCTAGAAGCGAAAGTGTGGGTCGAACTAATTGAAGCTACGCACAGACCTATCCGTCTAGTGTTTCTAGTCTCAAGTTCAGTATCGTTAAATGTTCTTTCAGTCGACCAGCCCATTCTATCATGAAACGAATCAATCCATAGCCGATTCTAGACCTGGACCATTTCACACGATAAAAAGTATTTGCTTACTAATATATAGCTACAAAAGCAATTATAATTCGTTAGGTAGCCAGATATCAATACCATTTTTAACTCTGTATAGTGTGCCATTTTGCTTATGAAAATTAACCTAAGTCAAGCTTTAACTTTTCGATAGGAGAATAAACTTGGCTACCTACAATTCTTCGAGTCGCGGGAGGCTTTGACTATAAGATCGTACAAGGTAATAATTGATAGGTCCGTTTGTTTCATTAGAAACGGAGCGAAGTCTTTTTGCAAGGATGGTGTTTCTTGAGGATTCCTGTACCGCTTCAGATGTCGAACGGAACCTGGCACGCCGGAATCAGTAACAACGCTGATGCAGCTTCGCGCGCGTTCAAGTGTCTCGTCATTGTATGTAGCTTCCAAATGAATATATAACTTGTAAACTTGTGGAATTCGATGTATAGTACACGTTTCTTTTTGCGTTATGAACAATAAAAGATACATGGTTCTTAGAGCAGACAGGTACAACCAAAAGGATCTTCCACTCAGGTAAGCATGCGTGGGGCCCGCATTGAACGTGAGATTTCGAACTTGACCAGGCTCTGTAATAGAAATAGAAAGCAAAGTCGAAGTGGCAGACACATGTTCGCAATCTACGAGATAAATATCAGGTGGGACCTTTAAAAATAGGTAGCTGATTTTACTTTGACTCACAAAGTAGACGAACGCAACCTGACTATCTATACCAGTGTTTTTCTTTGCCGAAGAACTGCTGGCTGATGTCTTAAAGAAAACTGACAAGAACTACTGACAGATACAAAAATAAACCAGATTTAAGAATATTTAGATTTTTTTAAACATACAGGATTGTTCAATACTCAGCAGTCGCTCATGCAGGTTCTGTCTATATTTTGCACAGTATCTTTATTCTACTTGCATAGCTTGGAGTTACATATCAACATTGAACAATGGGATTGCCTATGCGCAACATTGACCTTTACAGGTTAAGCTGTTTCCAGTAGTCACAATGTTATTTCGAAGCGTTTTTCCAGCGGCGACGTTTAAAGCGAGATGGCACGCACCGTAATCTTATAGGTTAGGGGTTCCACCAGTGAAGACGTTGAGTCTGTGATTGGACTTGGTTCAAGCATTAACTCGGACGAGATATTTGTACCATTTCTATTTACTTCGCTGCAATCGCTATCATCCGATATGAAGTTGAATACGGTAAAGTCGGTAGCCTACACGGGATTCTCAAAAGTTTCCCAAGTACCATTGTGGAATATTTCATCAAATTTCATTTGATGAAATAGCCTATGATCCACAAAGTGGCATCAAGTCGCAAGCAATCATTTTTAAGCTTCATCACCTTTATGTTCTGTTCAGTATTATCTTTTTGGTTTTTGGCCAACTGTTGGCCTGAAGTGCCTTATGGCTCTGGAGTGATTTTGAAAATACGAGGTCAAGTCCAATTTAGTGGCCAAACCAGTTCAGGACACGTCATGACGACACTCTGGAAAACCGTGAGGTGCACAACCACACAACTTCCACTCCATTAAATATTGGCCATGGCTACCCGTTGTTAAGCAGGGCTTGTGAGCTTTAGAGGTTCACGCCTGCTCTTTTCGGTGATGCAGAATGATTTTGCCAGTTTCATACGGATCTCCTTCCGACAAAGAGTTTTCATTTAAGTCCGAATGTTCCTTAGCTGAATGTTTCGATATTCAAATTCAAAAGCAAAAAATCAAGGTGGTTTGTATTGAGAACTAGTTTCAACATTCTGCTCAGCCCTGCATAGCAAGTCCATTTTGATGTACCTAAGCAGTGTACAAGATGAACTGTTTATGTAATGTAGTCAACCGCTGAAATATGGTTACTTATCGCGTAATTAGGTCGCGTTAGGCCTATATAAAATTCATATATAGGTAACAAATTTTCTATAAGGTAACAAATTTGATATGAATACTGCTTACTACTACTACTACCGTAAAGTGGACTTGGCTCGACAGTTCAAACTGTCAACATACTCCACCGTTCGCTCGGAGTAACTGTACGAGGTGAACCGTGCAAAGAGGACACAAAGGACCACGAAAATTCTTCATTCCTACCACTAATACTGATATGACGGTAGATTAGGTAAGCACAAACCTTGGGTGAGGGTGGTCAATGTGGCATTCGTCGAAGGCCCGTAGTGTTCGTCGCTCCCGTTGAGCTCTACGAGAGCTTTTATAGAAACCACGTATAGAATGTTGGGTATGCATTTACGGATGATCAGGCTAGTCTGGTTATTCTCCAACCGCTTAGAGTAATTTCGTGGACAAAAGATAATTTCGAATCGAAAGGTTTCGTTCAACACTGAATCTGGCCGATCCCAGCCAAGTAAAACGTCGGCCATCGATAACAGCGCATACTGTAACTTTTGTGGGGGTCCGATTTTTGTGCGAATACCTGCAAGTACAATATCGCTATGGTTGACCATAATCCATTTATACAACGGGATTTAAGTTTAATTTAAAATTTCGAACTTCGAATGTCAGGTGCTACTCTGTTAGTTGAGCATTGCGTCAGACGAGCGGCTTGTTCCGCTACGAAACAGCGAACCCAGCAAAGCCTTTCTTTTTTTTTTTCGAGAGATCAAGAATTTAGTGTTTATTTGCAGATTATCTTTCGTTTAGAATACTATACTATAGCCTACACCTACTGAAACCTTCAACTTTGGTAGTTTAAGCCACTGCTTAGAGCTATTCCGTATTACTTCGGGCTGGCACGTCGCTATCTACAAGAAAACAATCAAAAGTCTGTTGAGAAGCGTCAGCTGCGGATATGATCCGCTATCAACAATATTTCTTTCTATACGTCGTTGACTATACGACCTCTTTCGTTAGTGATATATGAGCGCACGATGCCCGTGTATCTTATGAACAAAAAGGCCCGTAAAGGGTGTTGTTTGTTGCCGTACTTCAAGTCGCGAGCCACTACTCGCGTCTTGTTGTTATCATTATGGCCACCGCCGGTGTCATATAAGTGTTGTTCAATGCGTGCGAGATGAAATATACTTTTTGCACGTAATTACGGTCGCTGCAGCAACTAGAAGGTCAAATAGGACATTTAAAATAAAATTAAGGCACGAAAAATCTAATGGACTATCAGAGCCGTACTGAACCAATGCCAGTACGAGACGGAAGCTGTCTATAGAGCGACCTGGCATCCATTTTGGCAATTTTTTTCCCTGACTACCATCTCGTTGTTTTGGTTAATTTTAACAATACTTCCAGCGACTGTATATTAAAGGGGAAATTACATCGTAGGAAGCCCACTCTGTATATGGTCACTAACGGGTCGAGACATGACTTTTAGGTTATTACTTAACCACTAAACGCAATAGGCTACCAACGGCTACTCAGTATCGCCTCACAAACCGGGAAGAAGGGTCAGACCTCTACCCTATGACTTGCCTTTTTCTACATATTCCTACTATAGTGAAAAAATTGCGGAAGCAATAGCTATGAAGGAAAATAATTTTCCAAAATCACCGCTTAGTTCCAAGCGAGTTCCAGGAAGTGTTAGACACATGAGCAATAGCGCTAGCAGTAGGTGATGAGGTACCGTCGAGTCAACACACTGTGCGCATCTGAAACTGTCGCTGCGACAGGCAACGACGCTTCTACTACGATCCTAACAAACACTATATAATTACAAGATAGCCACAAAGACCTAAGTAATGGCGGACACGAACGTTCGCAGCGAATGAATGATTTTCCACTGTCGCCTCCAGCAAGCAGATCATTCGATCGTTCTTGCAACGAGTGCTTATTGCCGTGGACGGTTGACGCCTGACAAGCTGACGAAGTAAACTAATGCTCTTATCCTTTTTACCTGATGCCGAGTCCGCTGAACATAGAAAATACATGCTGTAGCACCGATGATATAGTGATTTATTAATTTAGAACTGCGGACGATGCAGGATAAAAATCAAATCTGACATAGACAGTAAATGCAGTGTGTCCATGTTTGAGAGTGATACAGTGACTGATAAAGTGTGAAAGGAACGCATCTTTCGGTGGAACCTTAACCTGATTTAGGAACATATTGCTACATTTTGCCTAGACGATCGATTTTTTGGACAATTCCCCTGTTTTGGACTCAACTCGGTATCTGATGAACCATCTGACAGGTTAAGCAAATTAGAAAATTTCAAAATGATCGAATTGACAATACTCGCTTGTTATCTAGAATAGACCTAGTTGGAAAGGGGCTTCCAGACGCGAGAGATATATAAGGCCCTAATATAGAGCGTTGACTTAATTCACAATTTTTGTTGTCTCTATGCATTTTCTCACTGCACTGTACGCTTCCTTGGTGCTTAAGATGACGCAGTCTTTACATGCTTACCTACGAAACCTAACGACACGTGGTAGTTGAAGCTCGAAATTAAGCGCCAGACCTTCAGTTTCGTGTTAGAGTCAACTGTCTGAGGCAACGTTAAATACTAACGCACAAAAGCGTAAAACATTAATTTAGTAACGTGAACACTCAATTTTAAACCGTTGAAGTCAGGTCATTCTTAGGCGTTGACGCTAGGCGACAATGAGCATCATTACTCTGTGGTATCGGCTGTTGCTGACTATAACGCATTGGGAATGTTTCGTGGCAACGAATACGAAAAAAATCAACCGAGTTTCTAACAGCGATGACGTTCTATCTCTATAAACCGTCGACACCCGTTCTACTAGCTGGTAATGACGAAACGTAAATACGAAGTAAATAAAAAATATAAATCTTGTACATACAATGTAAATATATTAGTACTTCCGCTGCCGATAAAAACATTAGACGGTAAGTAAAGAATTGCAGTAAGTTTACAAATATAATAACGTTTCATAATATCGCTAAGTCCGCCATTGGTTCGAACTATTGTTTTTAACGTGAGCGACCAGGTGGCGCCAGTGGTCACGGGTTGGATTATATCTCGCATCCACATTCATAGATATAGGTTGGCTCCAGTCAGTTATTTCAATGGTCCTTTCATATATACTAGATACTGACGGACTTCAATTTTCGAAGCACTAAATTTACCGCGGTCATTAAGATGAGACCCTATCGAATACTATCACTATGGAGCCTTTGCGTTATGACCCGTAAGAGCTTGCTAACAAGATTCATTGTTTTAAAATTTCGAATCCGAGAGTTTATGAACATCTATAGCACCGCCTAAACTTTATGCAATACTTGACTTTTTCGATAGACCCAGATTTTACCTACGTCCACGCGTTTTGGGGCACATGTGAATCGAGACAAGCACAGCTGAATTTCGTATTTTTTTGGTATCCAGGATTTTGTTGTAACAATAACGCAGACAGCCCGTCGAAAAGATCCACAAAATACATTGAGCTTCAGATAAGAAGAACTAACCTTTGTTTTCACGAAAAGTTCTGTTCATGCTTATGTAGATATTTGCTTGGCCAGTTGTCTCAACGTTTGTACTGCGAGGTTCCCTGAGATATTTCACCTAGACAGATTGATGAGGCAATCGAACTCATTCGGAATAACATATATAAACGAACATAAAAATGTCTCGGCCATTTTTCCGTGGGTAGGGTTTATATATTTAGCCGTATGTGTGTAGAATATTTCCGAATTATATCTGTAGTGAAAATAGATGGTTTAATAGGCATACATCTTTAACTCTTAATGTCAGCCAAAGTTGTATACTTATCCCATGCGCGTATTTATCACACACAAACTCCTGCAACATCTGAATAAAGACAGGCTATTCTAAATACATCAAATTACTATTTGACTATACTAGAATAAATCTACTTGGAAATGCAAAGGTACACAATATTCCCTTTAGTTTTGTACAATAGGGAGAGCACTTTCGAAACGTTTGATTTATTTTGAAGTCACCAGCACCGGGTCAAGTGTTTGGTGGGACTCTGACCTGTGAGATGTAACGAAAACGCACTACTTTGATACAATTTCTATTCGCTATTGGCGCAGCTATTTTCGAATCATCCAAAATTCAAACTTGCAAAGTTTCCGCTTCGTTAAACGTGAGGTGAATCTTAGTTTTCGTGGATTGATGAGGAGGGCCTTAAAAATAACCCCATAAGTATTGAATTGCCACGCGGATAACTCTTATGGTAGTCTGACATTAGGGAATCTTCGGAATTTTACTTTTTCCTAAACTACGAAGATAAATTATTATAATAAGAATAGATAATAATAATAATTAAAATTTTTAATTTTTAATTGGGTAAAATTAAAATACATTTAAGAAAATATTGAACTTGCTTATTTCCAAATAAATTTGTTTTAAAACACAAAGCACTGCGTGTGTTAGTAATCTATTTCCACAGTTAGATGGTAAGTAGCGACATTAACGATAATTTCGGCTTACGGCCTTTTTTTTAAATGGAGGCAGGTGTGGAAAGACCTATTCCAATTCTCACTTCAAATTATGTATCCATAACTTGCTTCACTACGAACTGCCGAAAAAACGATTGAGTACAGCCATTTTTAAATTAGAAGTTAGTGAGGAACTGCTTAATGGATTCCACGAGAGATCAAGCGAAGTTTGTCTGTAGATCTTTTCTTCTGTACGCCTCAATCACATTTTCTTCATTTTTGCGTGTGGTCGCTAAAATTTCGCATATGTAGTTAATTATCATAATATCAAAGTGAACGCCAGGCACGAATTATTTGAGCTTTTTTTAAAATTTCAAATTATTAATTTTAATTTGTCGTAGAATCGTCCGTCTATGTCGTCTGTCGGTTCCCAGAAAGATTCAGTAAACAGACAGTAGAACTTCGTTTGTGTACTAAAGGCCTAGGTTAGAACCAGACGTAGAAGCATTTCGGGTAGTGCTAAAACATGCCAGCCATTCAAAGCAGCGTTTAATTGAGGCAGCAGCGGACATAAAACCTGCGTCATAAGTTCGCGTTACTAAGAAACAGACATTTATAAATAAGTTTCAGTCATCTTTTGTACATTTTATTCTGGGCCAGGTTCTCTATATTATCTGTAGTGTTTCGTCGGACGCCGTCGGACATAGATACCAACCAAGAAAACCTGCCAGAAAAAGTACAATTATTTGATATGATTTATATATATATATATACATCAAAAAGTTGAATATTAATATTGAATAATAATAATAGTAATTTAAACAAAAATATTTGTATTATCCACGACGTGACTTTGCACAGATGGCAGCGCTGAGACTGAGAGTTCTTTATATTCTAATAGTTAAACGAATTCTCGTTATGGATTGTATAGTATGCGTCTAGAAATATTCATTTCTCCGTAAGTAGGTACAGAAAACAAAATGAATATTAGCAATATTATCCATGGCCACTACTGGTTAATATCAGTCATGAACCAGATCTTGATTCTCATAATCTGGAAAAAACAGTTGAGAATAATAATAAGTACCAGTTCTGAAGGACTCGATGCGTGCCTTCGATTTGAACGTCTCGGATTTCAAGCTTTCGTTTGTGCTGATTATGCTCACACTATACTCGGTCGTTTTTTGAGGTCCATAAATGAGGCCGTCTTGGTACGCATGGTGAAGCTAGCCGTTTGTGTCATTTTTACGTTTGACATATCCTGGACTTCTATCAGGTCTCGAGTAGATTCCAGTACAGGTTAGCGAAGGCTTACGCGATGATTTTTGCCTCCACGTCGTCGGCCCAGTCGGCTCTATAGGTTGAAACGAAGTTATTTTTGCGGTATCGAAGGGCACCTTTATGGAATGTCAATCAACCATTTCTGTAATGCTCAAACAGGGGCAAAAATAACTTATTGTGAAGTTAAATAATTAGTGTTTTAAAGTTGTTTGCGTTCGGATTGCAACGGTTCCAAGTATCTCTTGTTGTGTGGGTAACTCATTGGTGAACTGGTGGTAATTAAGATGAACGTGTAACTCTGGTATAGTGAAATAATTGTTATGGCGTTTATGTGTGACACTTTCTTTCGACATCAGTTAGTTGGTGTAATGTTTGGTTTTCTTCAATGCACGGGTACGTTTTTAGCTGGTCGACTACAATACGATAATAGTTCGTCTTCCGTTGTGAGTCGGACTTTGCCAGGCAAGTTCCAAGTCGAACTCGGTGCACTTCTTGACAACTGGCCGAAACGAAAGAGGACAACCACGCCATTAACAACAATTAGCTATCAACTTCCACAACAGTAAAATGCTAACTTATTTTAGTACATTAAAATATGACAAATATAGGGTATGAAAGACTATAGTACAAAAGATAGTATTGCAGTAAGATACGCATAGTTGAGCAAGTTTCGTCCAGCTGCTACCAAAAATTTATTCGTGATTCTAGAAATCAGCCAGGTTCGGTAAGTTACAGGAAGTGCAGACGTTTGCTACGGGCTTCTCAGCCAGCATTAGGCGGTTTTAAAACATCGCTTGAACGCATCTGCGCAACAGATCAACATATGAGTCGGTTTAGCCGAGCCTCAATCTACTGTATACATATTGATAGTTTCGAAAGAGATCGAAAAGAGATGTACATGCAGAACAATTGAAGCCGCACCCTTCGCACTATATGATATATGAAAATATATATAGGAAAATTATAGGTGGCATGAGCAACCCATCGTCTGTCGCAGACACTTCGAAATTGCCGTGACAACAATCCGCCATAGAAAACCTGACCAATCTCAATCAAACAGTGGAAACTATTATAATTGCTAGA